AAAATCATAGTGAGGTAGTGAATGCTTATGTCGCCTATGCAATGAATTGCGGTAGACAGCCGATGAACAAGTTAGCGCTTCTATCTTCCTAAAGAGACTGGTACTAATTACACGCACCTAAGGGAAGGAGGGCCGGTTGGCTTAGGCGCATATCGAATTAGAACTCGAACCTGTGACCATGCGTATGTGATAGTGCGTCACTTACCATTACACCACCTCCGTCCGCTTACGTTAACAGAGAAAGGGGTGAGCACCCGCGTGCAGCAGGAAGTGGGACTCAGAAAAGATGTTTGAGAGTGATGTGAAGTTATAAAAAGTGACGAATGTCGACAATCATCAGATATAACGAATCTGGAGCGTTTCTTAGGAATGTAACTCCTACGTTTGAAGTAAGAGAGAGCTATTGATCAAACATATTTCACTACGGTTCCGTTTCAGTACAACAGCAACAGTTCTCATTGAAGACGGAGTCAATGTCAAGCAAAATAGCTCATCAACACAATCTTCCTCCTACTCCCTCTCTCTCTCATTCCCACATCTCTTCGCTATCACTCAAGGAACGTCTCTCTGCGTCGAAAGAAAAGATTTCGAACTGCGAGTAATGTCTTCAAAAGTCGTGATCTCATCTTTCCATTGGGCGAAACAATCTTTTCTTAGACTCCTTGTACATAGGAATCCTTGAATGTAAGGAATAAAGGACAATGGCCCCTTGGGTCAATCCTTCTTTGCACCCGGTAATCAACTTTAATTCAAAATAGTAGTGGCGGTTTGAATGCGTACATGGCCGAGAGAATGACTTGCGGTGGCCTAACGGTGTACAAGTCCATACTTTCATCCTCTCAGACGAATCTGGTAGGCACCAAGCGACTGACCCCCTAGGTATGGGAAGCCTCCTTGACCAATGCGGGTAACGACTGGGGTGCGATCTCCGAACTATGAGTATGACACTGCACCGCTCGGCACTACTCTGCATTACCGATGCTTTCCTGAGGAAGGCAAATTCATAGCGAGTTTTTGCGCTTTATAATTTTCTTGAAGCGAGGCCTTTCACAAGCAATTGGTAAGTTTGAAAAAAACAAAATACGCAAATCTCAATGGGGATATGGTCTAACTTGCAAATTTGATGAGTAAAATCGTTAGTGCCATTTTTCAGGGGACTTTCTAAAGGAAGTTTCTTGCTTTTCCCACTTTTAAATCATTAAGACTATTCCAATATAAACGAGATGGATTGAAAATGTATCGAAATACAGGTTATTGGTGGGTAGCAGATGACCTAGGCGGGGTAACGCCGTAACTCAGATAAGACCGAGGCTTCTATGAAGGAGCAGCCGGTGAACGAGTATTCCAGGTGCAACTAGTAACTCTGCTACGGAATGAAGGCAATTGCGTCTCTATAGTACGCCGTCACATCTCCAGCGACTACGAAACGTCGTCATCTTTCCATGGCTGAGAATCTCCCCATGTCTGAGAGCTAAACGCTTTCTTGCAATTAAGAGATTTAAAGAGATTTTAAAACTGAAGGCGTGCCAAGGAATGTGAAGTTCAATGCGATTTTTGCTTTATCGAAAAACTCAAGTCCATTGAATAGGTCCTATCAAGGAGCGAATTTCAGATTTGTAAAATTCAAAATCTACTCTTCTTAATGAACTGCCGAGTCAACAGCAAAGCTGTTGGTTACGGAGATGCTCGAGCCCATGTCCTTCGTGGAACGCATTGTGCTTCCTAAAGCTACGATTTCTTCATCTCTAGGACCTCATCAGTGAATGAGATAACTTCAAATGCTCCACTGTAGGTCTAACACCAACAATCCTTTACTTTGCTCATTTACTAATTTAGTTCCGTGATACGCCAAGTACCTCCCAGACAGAAGCTTCCGAAAGGTTTTTAACCCGTGTTATTAACCTTGCCATCGCAATTTTTGTATCAGGATTAGCTGATATGTGCACCTCAACTCCGGCCTTCTCTGCTATTTGTCGATTTGCTATTCAATGGATCCAATCTTACTGCATGTCCTTTGTCGCATTGACCCGCTATCGAATTTTACTGCAACGGATCGCACTCTCCGAATTGACTCCGGGTCTAATGATGACAACTAAGCTCACAATATATTAATATCAAAAAGGAAACCTCTCACAGAACTTCTCGTTCTTCTTCGGAGTAATATAGTCGTATTAAGTTAAATAAAAAGTTTTGATCGGTTTTTCACCTTTGTTGCGAAAATTTTTGTTTTACCAAAAGAGGAATCTAAATAGTTAGTTAATAGTAAGTATAATAAGTATAAGTAATAACTATAACAATTGTTTAAACAGTAATACAGTTTCCTTCGTGACCCTCAATATATGTCCAACGGTCCAGCAGGTTTTCGTTTCTTGAAGCCCAGAACTGTGGCGGATACGAAAACGCTAGAAATCCCAGTTTCGAGTTCTGAGCGATTATAAAATTTTCTATCGCGAAGATGATACTTCAGAGCAAGAAACAAATGGTAATCGGGCAGAGCAATATCTGGCGAATAAGGAGGATTGGGCAGGAGTTCCCATCCACGCTAGGCAGTTTCGTGACGAGACAGTTTCGCAACATACGGTTGAGCGTTGTCGTGAAGAATACTAACATTGCGGATGCTTCCTCGAACAACGTCGGTCAAACCCTGGAGCTGAGAAGCGTAAACCTCGGTGGTCACGATGGAACCCTTAGGAAGTACATAAATCATAGTTGAGCTTTCCCTGAGAATATCACAAACAACACAGCAAACCCTTGATGTAGTCCACTTCTGTGCTGTTTCGAAGATGGTTCGTCGCGAGGGACCCGTGGGTTGAGATGCGACGTCTTTTCTGAGTGCACCACAGATATTTGCGATTGGCCTTTATGCCCTTACAGAAACTCGCAGTCGACGATAGCCCTCACAATCAGAGAGCATCGGGCAACAGTAGAAGGTTGAAGTCATGATTGCGAAACTCTTATAAGGACATGCTTATATATACCCCTAAAGTACAGGTTCGGAAACCGTCTATCATAACCTATTAGTAAATCCTTCCGAGTGGCCCTTCGAAAAATCTGGAAAGAGATGAAATGTCGGTCGAAACCTTTTATTCAGCCTAATATTAAGTAAAATGCCCAGCTTCTGTTTCTAATTATAGTAAACCATGTGCCCCGTGTTTTAACTTCTCCCATCTCTGCGTAATGGGACTAGAAGAAGAGCATTTGGTCTCTCAGCCAGTTGCAGAAATGAAGTGTTGACAGCATTAACAAGGAGTTGGCACTGAGTTCTATGTATTAGGCCTGTTTCGATTCCTTTTTGAGTTTGGAATTGGATACACAGCCCACGATATAGATAGCCCTGAGATACCAAGCTTAAGCCTAATGATGGAAGTTATGGTGGAGAAGAGGGCTAGCAAATCGGTTGTTTCAGAGAACAAAAGAACCTGAAAATTAGTAAAAAAAAGTGGAATCGGCTACAGTGAATGAAAAATTTCAGGAAACCCCCTCCACTGTCGATGTGGGTCGCAACTAGTTCTTTGAATATAATCTACATGCTCTATTGGAAATGGTGGAGCCTCATCAGGTTCTTTAAAACACGGTCACTTAGGGGTGAGGCAAAAAGTGCGCTACTGTCTTTGAGCCCTTATCACTCCTTATCTAAACCGTTTTCATAGCAAGCAGCTACTATACATGAAACCACAGCTTCGTTCTTTAAGAACATCTGAGAAACCTTTCCATCGTGAAGTGTCCGTTTAATAGCGGGGGTATAGCTGAGTGGTAGAGCATTTGACTGTAGATCGAGAGGTCCGTGGTTCAACTCCGCGTGCCCCCTCCCCCCTCCCCCNGAGTCTCGTCTAGAGGATAAAAGTAGTGAATGTACATCATCCTGCCACTGCAAGTCATTGTATTGGCCACATACGCACTCATTACGCCACTACGATTCTGAATGGAAGTCAAGTGCGGGGCGCATCCCTCAAACGGGATTGATTAACACCAAGAACTTTATCGTTTATCCTTTATCTAACTTAGACATTTTTGTTCTGAAAGATTTCGGTCTTGCTCTCATTGACCCCCTATCGCTCACGAATAAAAGGACTGTAGCGTTCAAGTACTGTTTCTTTGTTGAAACTGTGGCCTTTCCAACCCGCAGAACCTTGTATACTTGGCTCTGACTAGAAATCAAAGTTTTTCTACCGCTATTCAGCTATATCAGGATTTTTTTCTTGGATAAAAATCACTTCATAAGTGGTGACGTTCTGGAGGCTTCTGCCCTTTACCTATCAACCAAACTGTTAGGTACAAGTCTTCTTCAAATGATTTTGGTTCATTCAGTTCCGGTCCATGTTTTTCAGCTTGAAATCAGAATTTGAAGCGATTACTAGCAGTCATGGCTAAGGATGCTTGAATCACAGCAATAAAATTTGGTGGTGGCTGATTTATGAGACACGACAAATTGAGCCGCTCATTGAAAGCATGGCTGTCATTAAAAGCCATTAATGCACATAGTAACACTACAAACAAACTTCATTTCCCGAAAAGCTTACGACTTTTGTTAGTGTTGAAGACGTCAAACGATAAACAAGATTTGGGCAGCTTAATGAGGTGCATAGGGACTAGTTTGACTCACTGACGCATACCACTTTTGCACAAGGCCTCCTCCCAGAGTCAGTGCTTTTATCCTCCCAGACGAGTCTGGTACTAATTGCCCGATCCCTGAGCGATGGAAGGCTTGGTGGGCTTAGACAAATACCGGTTCGGATTCGAACCCGTGACCATGTGTGCGTGTGAAGTGGAACACAATCACATGGAACTACACCACCTCCACCCCAATCTTAGAATGGTCCTAGGAAGTATAATTTCTTTTCTCCCGCTACCAAGAAGCAAACATTGTATGGGAAGGGAGTGTGGGGGGGGGGGGGGGGGGAAAGGTGTCAGCTCGACCATGGCCTTGATTTTCGGAAATGAGAAAGCAGTGAAATGACAAAGGGTTTTCATTCTACAAACAGGCTGCGAATGTCGTTTTCTCATTTCAACTTTCGTACCTGTCCAGAAATAGTTTCGGGGATTTTTGCTCCATGTCCAAGCGTCAGCAGCAAAGCATAAGCATAGTTGAATGAGTTCAAAAAAGTCCATTCCTTTTTGTCAGGCGTTTTCAGCTCCATACGATCTTCATATCGTTTCAGTGACTCGACTAGTAGTTGCTGCAATTGATAAAAATCTGTCCTCGAGACAGATAACAACGTATAGAGGTAATTACAAGACTCTCTGAATCTGTAGCCCCACAGTAATCATCAGTAATCTGCAATTTTATACGAAATCATTCTATTTATACGATTGTTCTTCTATTACTAAAGCACTCTCTTTTGGCCCTCTTCAAAGTTCTCGTCCTTCACAGCTCATAACACCTTAAGGGCGATTTTGGAGACCCTTAGAGACCGGTACCTGAAGGTTCCTATTCCCTCCGGTATCGGAAAACCACACGGACTTTGCACTCCGTTGAACTGTAAAGCGCTGCAAGTTGCATGTTGGAATTTTCAGGGTTTTTGGATGGATGCCCCCATCAAGCATTTAGGCAGCATAGTTCATACAATTAGCGCTGTCGCAGCTATTGAGCCGAGATGGCGTTAGCTGGCTGATTGTTGCCCAAATCGACACAAACTTCATTCGCCCGCAATTCGACCGCTATTCTCCGGTCAATCAGTGTTCTTCGTAGCATTTCCGTTGAAACTCTTTCTCGATTCCTCGCTCAGCAAACTACCCCATCAGGCAAATCCACGACGGGACATTCGCCCTCGCCTGCCTGCCCGGCTTGTCAATCCTTCCATCTCTGGGCGAACAAAAATCCATTCAACGAAAAACCGCGATAACTCTCGTCAATTCGACAAGAAGTCCGCCGTTGAAATCTAATACTGGGGCGAGTCGTCGGATACAATTAGCTAATCGATGGAACTTTTTCACCAGGCCAGTTTCAAGGAATTTTGCAGGCCAACATCCACACCATCAGAATATTCACCTCTCAGACTTCCAGTCTGAAGCTATCTTCTCCAGCAGCTGTCGGTCGTCTTAAAACATGGGGATATAGCTAAAATCTTGCGCTTTGCATGGAGTGTTAGTAGTTGAATCGATTCAATCCGACACTGAGATGCGCATTAGGAGCTCCATCTAGGAGTCCATTGGCAGAGACTTTTTATTGACTTGGGATTGGAGTTCTCACTCTCCTTGAGGTCCCAGAAAAAATGGTCGGTAAGACTGTTGGGAAAGAATTTCTCAAAATTCATCTAACCGCCCTGAACCTCATGACCACTATTGTAGGAGAAAAGTGAACCTTTACTTCATTTTCCAATATAAAAATCTATTTAATTTATGATTCTCAGGGGTTACCTGAACTCGTTCCGTTTGCTCTCTATCAATAATAATGAGCAAATTTCGAGTATCGTTGAAGATCCTCGAACTGATAGATCTAGCGAAATGTCTCCTGGAAAAGTTTATCGTAGTCTGCAGATTGGAAAAAGAAGGATCAAGGATTAACTTAAGAGGGATTCCTGTGGGCATACTCTGGGTAAAACTCTGGGTACAGGTAATCTTGACCCAGACAATGCCGCTGGAACATCTGTCGAGTCAACTAATTCGCCTAATTCTATATCGAGTAACTTCTGATTCCTCTGATACCTTTGTCTAAGGGTTTCCCTGGTGACACCACTCAAGCGTGTGGGCCAGCTGTCTTTCATAACAAAGGGAAAGTATTTGGATTCATGAGGATAAGAGTTCGCTCGCGTTCTCTGGTCCTTTTGACTGATCGACTTACTGGCTGGCTTTTCGCGCACGCGACATCTCATCAGCACTTTTCTCAAGGAAGATAAAGCTATCGCAAAGCTGACAGACCACCATTCTTGCAAGGAAATGGTGGCATCCGGTGGTCTGGGCGGGGTGTTATGGTGTTGATGAGGAGTTCTGATTTCGAGGAGGCAGCTGTTTCGGAAGGGCATAAAGCGCGGTGGCAGACGTGCCACGATAAGCGATGCGAGTACGCCCCATGGGAGAAAACTCTTCACTCACTGCGAAATACATACGACTTAGGTTTTCACCACAAGATGAACCTCATTTAAGTAATACATGCTTCCTATTGGATGTGGTTCGAGAGAAACAACCACAGGTGGAGGTATCAACAGGGGCATGGTCGTTTTCAATCGAAGAAACCAGAAGTTCATCCGGGAGATGATTGGAGATCGGAAGCATATCAGGAAGCACTCACCTATTCACCGCAAGGTTCATATACCATTTCCGTACATTTTGTTCATGTTGATGATGCTCGAAAAACCAAAAACAAGCGGAACCCATGAATAAGTAGACGACCAGTACAAAAAGTAGTAGTATTGGAACCCAATGACGAATTTTAGCCTCTCTCATTCCCGTCACGAAGCGAACGGTTCCATCACGAAGGCGGTCGATTACCATTCTCTGCAAAAGCTCTTTGACACTCAGAATTAAGCATGTGAAGATATTCAGAAGGAAACGTCTGGGTATAGGAAATAAAAAGGTCACGAAGGTGAAAGGAGAAAGTAAAAGTTTGTACGGCCAAAGTGGAATGAGAGGAGAGAAATAGGTTGTAGAGCGATTTTAATGAACTTATCTTTATCTCCCGGATGAAATCCTTCCGGAAAAAGAGAAGGTTCTATATGATGAAGAAAAAATGGAAGAGAACACACAGTTCTTCCTTGCAAGAGAGCAACCAGAGCCATTCGGATGGGCGTGCCCAACAGAAAATGTGTAGGCGGCCGCCGAAATGGAAGTAACACCATGGGATTGTCTGCGCATCTGAGGGATGACCAGGCAAGAAACAGCCAAGAAGGTGTAGATGCCAGGCCAGCAAGCCATTACCCAGAATGTGCTTAATGCAAAGTTAATGACTAGTAAGAATTCCAAGAAACACAACAGATTTCATTCATAGCCAGAAAAAAGGAAAGGATAAAGGGAAGCCCCTAACAAAGAAAGGAAAAAAGTGCCCATCTTCGGTAGAAATTATTTCAGAAGTATTGTACTCATTACAAGGTATTCAAGCAAAAACCTTGTAGGAATGAGGGACAATCGAAGAGAAGCAAGCGATATACAATCGAATGCGGTAAAACCACCGAGTTATGCTCCGTTTTTTTTACATAGGGATGATAGATAATCTGACGGTTTTCTTGATAAATTCGACAAAACATATGAATTGTGCAGCGAGATATTGGCTATGCCAAACTTCACTCCTTTAGGACTCACTTCTACGCTGTTCAACGGAAACATTTGCTTCACGGATTCGCATAACCGAAATCTTTTGAAATCAAGGGGCAAGGGGAAATGGACTGGGTACCTTCTGATCAGTAGCTGAACACAACTGAACCATACATGTGCAGCTCACCTACATCCAAGCCTACTTCCAAAACAATATTGCCTGTTGCGCACATGATAATCCCTTACCTCACCCAGTTGAGAGAAAATATTTCAAAACTCAAGGAGCACGCGGAGTTGAACCACGGACCTCTCGATCTGCAGTCGAATGC